AAAATTAATTCCGAAAGAAGAGGCTGAAACTTCCAGGATGTGAATTCTCCTCATCCCCTCGGCTCAAAGGAGAGCTCAGCACAGAAATCATCAGACAAGGGGTTGGAGCAGACCCCTGCCATGGAGGAGGGCTCGGGGGGGGGGCTGGGCAAGGCTTAGGAAAGGCAGGGAAGGATCTAAGACAGGGAATGATTTAAGCAGTGATCTCTTGGAAAGGAATCTGAGGGGATCCCAACTCAAGGGGGCCAGAGGGGGGGCCTTTGCTTTAGGACAACAACTCGACCAGCTGGGAGGGTCAGCTGTTCCCTCTGAACCAGCCAGGACAGTCTGAGGGGCCTGAGGGCAGCTCTGGCTCAGCCCAGCCCAGAGCAATCCTGGTCAGAGAATCCCAGAATGGTTTGGGTTGAGAGGGAACTTAAACCTCATCTCATTCCACCCCCTGCCATGGCAGGGACACCTCCCACTGTCCCAGTGTCCAGCCTGGCCTTGGGCAATGCCAGGGATCCAGGGGCAGCCACAGCTGCTCTGGGCACCCTGTGCCAGGGCCTGCCCACCCTCACAGGGAACAATTCCTCATTCCCAATATCCCATCCATCCCTGCCTCTGGCAGTGGGAGCCATTCCCTGTGTCCTGTCCCTCCATCCCTTGTCAATTGTTTCTCTCCAGCTTTCCTGGGGCTCCTTCAGGCCCTGCAAGGCCACCCTGAGCTCCCCCCAAAGCTTCTCCTGTGCAGGTGAACAATGGCAGCTGTGCCAGCCTTTCCTCCCAGCAGAGCTGCTCCATCCCTGGGATCATCCTGGAGCCTCCGCTGGCCTGGCTCCAGCTGCTCCAGGTCCCTCCTGTGCCCTGCTTGTCCAGCAGCCCCATTCCAGCTCTACTGTCACCACTGAATGTCCCAGGCAGCTCCAGCAAAGCCCCTGTGCAGGAAGGGATCCAATACCCACAGGAGATACTTAAACCTGTCCAGGATTTTGCCCCAAGCCATGGTAGCTCCCTCACATGAGAAGCAGGAGGCAGGAGACTCCAGTGAGGAGCAGGAGTGCAGCTCTGCTGTCCCAAGGCTGTGCTTTCCTCCCGAGAATGTGAGAGGGAATAAACCCAGGCACTGAGCTGGCCCCAGCATTGCAGTGTTTGGGGACACAAAGGAGCTCCAACCAATTTTCCCCCAAATCCCCTTCTCCTCACTCATCTGCATATTGCTTGGCTGGGAGGTGGAACTGGTTCCCAATCTTCCCAGCCACGTTTTCCTGTGCCTAACCCGGGATTAATTGGGATTGGAGCTGCAGCTGTGGGGAGGCTCTGATGTCCTCCAGTACAGTTTGACTCCCGAGTTCCTTGGCAATTCTAATTCCTCGTTCACATTTTGAACAGCAATTCCTTGTTATTTTTAGTCCTAAAACATTATGAACATAGAGGAAACGAGACACCTACAGAAGTTGCCCCTGTGCAAAATTATGAATGATTCAAAAGTGCTGTCGCAATTGCCAAGCTCTCCTGTTCTAAAAAGCTTTGTAATATTCACAGTATGGGCTTGGCTGGCTCCTGAGCAGTGCAAAACACCCAGCAGAAATTAATTGTCGAGCCCTGAATTTACCCTCAGGGAATCAAAGATAAAAGCACTGAGATTGAGGGGTGATAGGGAACCCCACCCTCCACCTCGTGCAAAGGGAAACTGCTCCTGCCTCAGTTTTCCCTGCTCCAGCATCGCCCTGGGGGTGGGAAAGAGGGAATATCAGCAGGGGGATCCCTGAAAGCAGCTTTAGGGGTTGGATCAATTAATTCGCCGCTGGTATCTCGTGGTGCAGGTGTTCAGTGTCCCCGTGGAAGTCACTGTGGGGCCACTCGTTGTCACTGCGAGCCGTGGGGTGACCGGGGGATTTAAATTTGTACAATGGCCTCACTGTCGAGGCGGAGAGCCCCTGACACGGCAGCACTTATAGTCCATAAAGCAGCAATTATCCCTGTTATTAGATCATCCCATTTCCAGCCGGAATCCTTCGCCTGTGGAGCATGCAAAGCGAGCCGTGCCTCTCCCAGTGCCGGGCTAATCTGTGCTAATCCATTATGTAAATCACCCGGACAATAACCAGAGACAAACGTTCCATGTCTTCCAAGCATCCGGCCCTCCTTAATGAAATCTGACCCACAAACGCTCTGGTTTGGGCTGCAGGGTGCTGGGAGAGCTGGGTGGGAAGAACATCTGCACTTGGCAATTTGGAGGCGCAGTTTGGAGCCCTGGGGCACCTCCTGAGCTCAGCCTTTTCATGGGGCTGCGGCTGAACTGGTCCATGAACATTCCGTGGCCCTTTGAAACGGGACCCCTGCCCCCAAAGCAGGTCATTTTGGAGCAGCTGCTGCCGCCTGGGGCAGTGCTCTGCACATGGAGTCGCTCCAAAATGCAGCTTTTGTGACCAGGACCTTGGGGAATCTCAGGGACAGTAAAACTCCCCTAGGTCAGGAGAGAGAGTGTGTATTTTTCTTACTTAAAGGATCACCATGATGGTAACATCTCCGTGCGACAGCAGTGGGGCGCTGGATGAGATCCCAAAGGGCAGCAGAGCAGGCATGGGATGGAATTCCTGACCTCAGGAACAGCAGGTTCATGCTGGAGAGCTTCTCCTGCATATCCATCCTGCCCCTGAACACTGAGGGTGCCCAGGTGACTCTGAAGTGTCACTAAGGGGCTCTGCCCACGCTGCTGGCTGTTGTTCTTGTACAGCTTGTGTGGCTGTTCCTTATCAGCCCCCTTGTTATGGATCTCTCATCACTGATTCCTCATCCCC